TGTTTATTAAATTGAAACAGGCGCGTTCGTTTAAGTGAGTGCAAAAGACTGTGAATAAGTTGGGGTACTATAGTCGTTCATTAAGCTAAAACAGGTGATTCCGCCCCGGGCGTTTATGTTCGCGTTAGTGTTTTCTTTGTGTTTAGGTGGGTTTGCGTTAGTGGTTGCGTTTTAATTTGGTTCGTTTTTGTTCTTTCTTTTTTCGTTTTTGTTTGTGTTTTTTTTTGTTTGGGTTTGTATTTGTGTTTTTGGTTGGTTTTGCGTTTGGATTTGGTTTGTTTTCGTTTGCTTTTTTCGTTGATTTTTTTTTTGTTGGTATTGGTGTTTGTGGTTGGGTTTGTTGTTAGGTTTTTGTTTTCGTTTGCTTTTTTGTTTGTTTTTTATTTGTGTATGTATTGGTGTTTGTGGGTGTGGTTGTGTTTGTTGTTAAGTTTTTGTTTTCGTTTGTATTTGTAATTGTGTTAGCGTTATGTTTGCGTTTTGTTGTTTTGGTTTTGGTTGGTTGTGGTTTGGGTGGGCAATGCCGGGTTTATGATGATTTCTAAACACACAGGTAATGGTCTTTAACGGAAAGGTTTTTCACAGAAGCCAGAGCAGGGCCTGGCCGGGACGGCTAGTATATATATATATCTAATATATAAAGCTCAGTTCTGTGTGTAATCTGTATGTCGTTGGAAGTGTACGAATTTAAAAGTTAGAAAATTATCGTGCGCATTTGTCTAAATTTATGAGCTAAAAAATTACTATTGAAAGTGTTGGGAAATAATTTTCATTTTTCAAATTATAGTAATAATTGTCGGCATGTTCATTAAACCCAAGTTTTAAAAAAAATATCATCTTTTACAAAAATTCTAATTATGTCTTTATTTAGTCCTATAGCACTTACTTCCCTTTGATAAATTAGGAAAAACACAATTACTTCCCTTTATAACTTTATAAAACCATTGCATTCCGTGAAAATAATTTACTTTTTAATTACTTTGTTTTGGTGTTGGAAAAAAAAATAATTACATAATTAGCGGGGATTGATCAAGTGCAAATGTTGTAGTTATTTTACGGGTAAGCTTGGAGTATTATAATTGTTCATCAAATTGAAACAGGCGCGTTCGTTTAAGTGAGTGCAAAAGACTATGAATAAGTTGGGGTACTATAGTCGTTCATTAAGCTAAAACAGGTGATTCCGCCCCGGGCGTTTATGTTCGCGTTAGTGTTTTCTTTGTGTTTAGGTGGGTTTGCGTTAGTGGTTGCGTTTTGATTTGGTTCGTTTTTGTTCTTTCTTTTTTCGTTTTTGTTTGTGTTTTTTTGTTTGGGTTTGTATTTGTGTTTTTGGTTGGTTTTGCGTTTGGATTTGGTTTGTTTTCGTTTGCTTTTTCGTTTGTTTTTTCTTTGTGTTTGTATTGGTGTTTGTGGTTGTGGTTGGGTTTGTTGTTAGGTTTTTGTTTTCGTTTGCTTTTTTGTTTGTTTTTTCTTTGTGTTTGTATTGGTGTTTGTGGTTGTGGTTGGGTTTGTTGTTAGGTTTTTGTTTTCGTTTGTATTTGTAATTGTTTTAGCGTTATGTTTGCGTTTTGTTGTTTTGGTTTTGGTTGGTTGTGGTTTGGGTGGGCAATGCCGGGTTTATGATGATTACTAAACACACAGGTAATGGTCTTTAACAGAAAGGTTTTTCACAGAAGCCAGAGCAGGGCCTGGCCGGGACGGCTAGTATATATATATATATATATATATATATATATATATATATTTGAATTCAATTGATTTTTACAAAGGAACACAATGCAATATCAATAGACCAGATATAAAAATGAAAAGTGTATTTTATGAACAACAGAAATTTAACAAAATAAAAAAAATGTGTTTAAAAAATCACAAGATGACCTCGAAATTCATTTTTTTTTCTTTCTTTTTCAGTTTTCAAAAGACGTTAACTTTTTTAAAAAAATCTTTTTTTTTTCAGTTTTCCAATTTTCTTTCCGACATAGGCGGGTCTATAGGCCTCTGGACTGGACTGTCTGTCATTAGTCTATTTGAAATCGTTCACCTGGTCCTGGAAATTGTGCGTTACATTGCATGTCGGAAATGGCGGAAACAGGAGCCTCAACCCGCATTGGATGGGCATTCGTGACGTTGGTGTTTAGCCTCGAACCCAAATTCAAAGTTTACAATCAGACCGGTGGCGGAGCTCTCGTCTGCTCTTGTTGTTTGCAGATTTTAAGAAGCTTTGATGGAGAAAAATCTGTATTAACAAGTTCATAAAAGTTTGTTTCTAGGTACTGTTCCATCTGATAAAAAGTTTCGTGTCTATTCTTCATGGAACTACCCGATGACTTGAATGTGAACATTTCATTTTTAAGCCACGCCTAGACTTGGTGTTATGGTTTAAACCTTATCATGTCTTTCTTAAATACAAGATGATATACAGAATATTAAATAACATTGAAATAATATTCAGAATGATAAAGAATTTCCAAATAATATTATTATCACTTCGATAGTCGTTTGAAAATGTTGAAATATGTTCATTTCGATAAAATTGACTTAATATTAAGTTTGGAAATCTAAAAAAATTATTTACAGATCGAAAATTTTGAATTGGTATACAAAATGATAATTTTTTATATACCGTTTCAAAATGTTGAAATTGAAAGTATCTTGCTCCGTTATATTGATATGAAATGAAGACAATGTTGAAATTATTCACATCTTGATAATGTTGATAAAATAGACTATAGGTTGATAGAAAATGTTGAAAAATTGTTTTACACTGTTGATGTAAAATTACCCAAGTTTAAATATAAACATTGGGCGACATTTCAATATTTTAATATTAGAACAAATAAAATTTGATCATCACATTGTGCTCGTTATGGGCTTGGTAAAAGTTTGGTCAAGGTGTGTTGTCAATGTCAGGGTGTCTACGACTGGCGGGGGGGGGGGGGGGGGAGGGTGGGGTGAACCACTGGGGTGGTTGTGTGGTGTGAATAGGTACAATACATGACTGGCTACCTAGCATAAGACATATCTGGCTACCTAGCACAAGACAGGACTGGCTACCTAGCACAAGACAGGACTGGCTACCTAGCACAAGACAGGACTGGCTACCTAGCACAAGACAGGACTGGCTACCTAGCACAAGACACGACTGGCTACCTAGCACAAGACAGGACTGGCTACCTAGCACAAGACAGGACTGGCTACCTAGCACAAGACAGGACTGGCTACCTAGCACAAGACACGACTGGCTACCTAGCACAAGACAGGACTGGCTACCTAGCACAAGACACGACTGGCTACCTAGCACAAGACACGACTGGCTACCTAGCACAAGACACGACTGGCTACCTAGCACAAGACACGACTGGCTACCTAGCACAAGACAGGACTGGCTACCTAGCACAAGACACGACTGGCTACCTAGCACAAGACACGACTGGCTACCTAGCACAAGACACGACTGGCTACCTAGCACAGGTCTGGCTACCTAGAACAAGACCAACTTAATACCGGTTGTTTTTTGTTCTGTCCTGTGACAACAGCTGATGTAGAGAGCTGATCAAGACGTTTTACGTGTACTAAAATATTGCCGCCCCAACAAGAATCAGGCTTGTGGCTTACATATTGACCGTCATTATGTTTTCAATCGATATCGAGTTTTTGTCTCGTTGTGTAAAACCGAATTAATACATTGTACTGTGTAACACAACACCTGTGTAACGCAACACATTTCGTGTACACACTTAACATATTTTAATATATCACAGTAAACAAAAGATTTAACGTATCACATCACACACATCTTATTATAGCTAAAAAAAAATTTTTTAAAATCTTTCATTGCATAGACAGACTTATCATACAGCAGTTTTTCTATTGTTTTAAGGGGAAACAATCAGCTTTATTATTGAAAATCAAATCATGAGAGTTGTCTTTCTTATAATTTTTCAGAATCGAAAAATTGTCACTACGTGATATCTATTTTCGTTATAAACAATCCAGTTACCAGTGGCATACTCATATGCCAGATTTTTATAAAAAGATAGACTAAACCAGAGCCGGTGGAGCATAGTTGGATTTGTGCCGCTGTATAATTAAATTAAATAATTTAAAAGTAAATTTAAAATATTTCTTCAAACAATTTTTTCTATCTTCCCCACCCAATATTAACTTAAAAAACAAAAGTTAAAACTTGCAAAACTTTACTTAGAAGGCAATTTTTTACCGGCTAAATTACCAGAATAAACAGTAAAAGTACTTTTTTTAGTTTTTAATATCTTAAAACCACTTGTGAACGAATTTTGCTTTTGACGGCAAGCAAAGAAAAGCAAAGGCTGCTGGGCTTTGTGCTGACTACACTGTTCCGTCATTTGCTGGGGTCAAGAAACAGACCAAAAAAATGGTAACTACTTATAGTTGGCCTACACTATATTGGCTGCGACCATTAGGCAATATAAAAAAAATTTTGCTTCTTGTGAGATAGACTTAGCTACCATTGAGGTGGATGTATTAGTTGGGGGGGGGGGGGGGTGATGAAAAACAAATACGGCTTCTTAAATTAACATTTAAAAAAAAAATACCTCCCCAAACACACGTCGCACGGATATTCATTAATTGAAATTTGAGCAGAAGATTGGTGTAAATACTAGGCAGCTATTTTTAACCGCAGGTAAAGTATATTTCTATTGTGTCTGTGGTGTGTGAACCTATTCTCAGCAACCCGTAACATTGTCACACGCTACAAAACTTAGGAACCGGTCATGACTGGTGCCCTTAAAATAGACAGACACGTCTATGGTTACATTATTGGCCTACTCCGTGTGTTGATACACAATACAAAATGATGCAGTATGTGTGGAATACATAGCTTTTGTAAATCAAATTTAACACAAAGTGTAAATTATATATTATTGCTATTTTTTTACTAGTTACAAACATATTGTCCTACGGGCCAAGTCCAGTAACTCCAATTTACCGAGGGATAACTCTGACGAAACGTGGACTAGCCCAGCCATGGCAGCCTCGCATAGATCACAGAATGTAAAGTCGTCTTCACGCGTATGTAAAACTTCCGTACGTTCCAGTTCCCCAGTATGATCATGATTATGAAACGCAGCGTAGACATCACGACTGAGAAAATTTTATCGAATGGGGACTCGCCGCATATCGTGGAGCTAATTAGTTATGAGGTAAGTAAAATTTGTTTGAAGTTGGGCTAATTGGTTTTGATATGCTACTGCATTTTAATTAAATACCGACATGCTTGGTTAATTAAATTAGGGTAGTTATGTAATTAAAGAAGGTGTACTGTACAAGTGTACTGAGATGACCGAGTTGAGACAATGTTGTGGTGAGATGGACACGGTGTGTTGGTTATTTGGTGTGTCCGTGTTGGTCTGGCCTAAGGTCATGTGTAGCCAGCCGTGTCATTTCGACACTGAACAAAACCCGCGCGGACAAAAGACCAGGGGCGTGGGTATGGGGGTGTGGGGGAGGGCAAGGCGAAGGTCCGTTTGTTGGGGACTCGAGAATAAAAGTTAGTTAAAAGAAACACGGACAGTGAATCACACGGGCCTTTAAGAAGTTGATTCTGAGTAGGGCATGGGACGTAGTTTAACTAGTGATATTTTGTTACGTCGGCCTAATCGACCACCTGACTATGAGATTTTATATAAAGATACTTGATAGAATGCTAATTGTAAAGTATCCTATAATCTCTTGATCGCGTCAACACAAACTCTAGTCAACCACCTTACATAGGCATGTATCAAACCTACGATAACAATACTGATTGGATACAGGCAGGGTGACACCACTGACAATATAAATGGTCACTGGAGTGGGGAAAAAAACAACCAGTTGGTTTTTGGTGAACACAAGAACCGTAGTGTTGACGACACGAGTGTGTAGTGTGTAGGCCTGCCGTACTTCCTAGTCAAACTAGACACAACAACTACCTGAGAACAAACAAGACATAACAGCACATACTTTAGCATAAAGAGTATTGTCCCATATGTCAACACATCCCCAAACCATCAACTGTATAGCCCAACTAAAACACTACCATATTCGACTGTATAGCCCTACTAAAATACTACCATATTTGACTGTATAGCCCTACTAAAATACTACCATATTTGACTGTATAATAAAATACTAAAATACTACCCACATCTACATATTAATCATCGGCTGTGATCAAAATACACTACGTCCTAACCACCACAATTAAATCACCATTGTCTTGTACGAAAACGAAGATCAGTGGACATTTTAGAGAAATTAGAAAACAAAACCAAAAACAATAACATCCAATAAAAAAAATATCGAATAACAATCTAATAACAGAAACGATTCTTTTTTTTAAATATGGTCCTTGCTTCGACATTTTTTGTTTTATACTGCAAGCAAATCAATGTGCTTTACGATCAATTATATACATACTATTCTTTGTGTTTTTTGCACACCAACAGCAAAAGTTAGTTTGATTTTATTTAAATGTGCCAGTAAATAAATTAGAAAATGTAACGCAATTCTAAGACAGCCCAAGTACGTCCTTCAGCACGAAGGATAAAAATGAACAATTGGCTAATCCGGGAGACGGTTTTGTTTTCATTAGCTGTCGTCTGCCGAAGCTCGGACTAGCTGCAGCTAGACTTGGGGTGTAGACAGTAGTATATTAGGTCCCTTTTGGAGCGAATTCTTGGCGGAGGAGCTGGTGGGGATGCGCAAAGACATATAGTAAAATACTCGGGAGCAGGATGCGCGGGTGGCGCAATGACATATAGTAAAATACTCCACCAGCTGCCGCAGGGTGGTGGAGCAGGATGCGCGGGTGGCGCAATGACATATAGTAAAATACTACGCCAACTGGGGTTGGCGGAGGTGGAGGTGTGACGTAATCTCCGTTGACATTGTGACGTAATCAGCGATATTATGACGTAATTATTGACCTTGTGACGTCATCATTGACCTAGTTACGTAATTTTTATACATTTTTTAATGAGTTTTAATGAGTTTTTTAAATTTTTAATTAATTTTTTATTCAAGAGTTACGTAATTTGATTATTTGTTTACTTTTTAATTAATTTTTATTGACTAGTTACGTAATGTGATTTTAATTACTTTGTTTATATTGTGTAATTTTTTATTGACCTAGTGGGTGAGGGTGGGTGAGGGTGGGTGAGTATTTTACTATATCCCATTGTACCAGGCTGCGCCACCTGCTCACCCAACTTCACCCAGATGGGTGAGTATTTTACTATATGTCGTTGTACCAGGCTGCGGCAGGCTGCGAAGTTTATAATCTTAAGCAAAATTTACTAAGGTGATCAAAAATTAAGATGACAATGTAAGATATAGAAAAAGAAAATACATTGAGTGGTAAAAATAAAAAATTGTCCTTAGACGTAATGTGTTGATTTTTAAAACTTGAAGTTTATAATCTTAAGCAAATTTACCACCACCTTACCACCACCTTACCACCACCTTACCACCTTACCACCACCTAAGGTGATCAAAAAATTAAGATGACAATGTAAGATATAGAAAAAGAAAATACATTGAGTGGTAAAAATAAAAAATTGTCATTAGACGTAATGTATTATGTATAAGTAAACTTTCTTAAAAATTAAAGAAGTTCAAGTCAAAAAGAAGATTGATGAAAACTGTAATACTAAAGCGAACATGGGAAGGTAATCTGCTGCAAGACTAAGATATATATTTTGTTAACCCTTGTCTTCCTAAATTATTTTTTAACTTTTTAAAGAAATTGACTGTTTAGTTAAGGATTCTGACGCGAATTTTTTCACAAGGGACGATACTCGTGTCTGTAGACAAGGCTGTTCTAATTTTAGAACAGTTGTCTTTCCTCTCGTTTCTCTATTAGGGAAGCCGTAAGGGGAAGACACGCGACACGTCTTTTAAAATGTAAACAAGCGTGCACGGGGTGCACTTAAAATAAACCCCGCTGCGACAATTGTTAAATTTATCTGGCTCAGTGTGGTCAAATGGTGGTCAGATCAAAAGAAAATCGGAACGGTCATAAAAAACTTAATTACTTTTCCAGACTTGTAAAAAACATGTCTACCCACGCATACCTACGTACCAACGCACCAAGTCGCCCTGTCGCCCATTAAAAAACACGAACCTACCGAGACTTCGTTTCGTCTCAAAACCTGACTTAACGGTGGTTGAAAGAAAATTCCGACCCTTAAATATATTTTTGTTTTCGCTGACCCTCGCTATAAGCGAATAGTTACAACCATTAATCTTTCATACATACCAAGGGACGGTTCGCAGGACATGTGGAAACAAAATTTTTTAATTTGATCAAAGAATGACCTGGCGTACGATATGTGAACATAGTTCATGTACAGCTGTAGTCTAATGAAAAAAGCCGAGAGCCGTGACTAATTACAGCACCAGCTGTCGCCACACTTAACGCGGAGAGGGACTTAATGGCTTCGATTAATTACCTGTTGTGATCGCTTCAGTGAGCCCGCTATTAAGCAACCACGGGGAGCGCCGGGGAGGATCACGGGCGGATCGATAAGTACAAGCTGTCACTAATAAGTAACAGCTGTGGTTAAATGGATGTTATACACAATGACACTTTCTAGTACACGCTAGTGTTAGTCTTTTATTTTAAACGGCGTACAACAAAGAAATTAAAAAGCAAACTAATTAAAATGAATTTCAAACAAATAAATTATACAAAGTAATTAAATTAAACAACAAGTAAACAACAATTAAAAATAAAATTTAAAAATAATAATTTAAAAAATTTAAAAATTTAAAAAATTAAAATGTTGATTTTTAAAACTTGAAGTTTATAATCTTAAGCAAATTTACCACCACCTTACCACCACCTTACCACTACTACCTTACCACCACCTTACCACCACCTTACCACCACCTTACCACCACCTTACCACCACCTTACCACCACCTTACCACCACCTTACCACCACCTTACCACCACCTTACCACCACCTTACCACCACCCGCTTGGTAACATCTGTCGCCACACTTAACGCTGGCTTTGCGTTAATTATCATGACCTATCAAACCGAGCGGGGAAAAACCCACGATGCATGACAAAAATTTAATTAGGTGGGACATCATGCTGTGATGGCCCGTTGGTGGGATCAATATAAAACCCATTAATCACTACGAGGCGCGTGTCATGGTAACAGATGTTCCCACACTTAACGCGGGCTTTGTGGTTAACCACTTAGCTCTTTCGATTAAACGCGGAACCCTGCTGTGATCGGGTCGGCGAACAACGCATAAACCCACGAGGCGTGACCAACTTTAATTAGGTGTGATGGGCCTGGAGCTGCGATCGATATAATACCCATTTAAAAACGCGCAGCGCGGGGAGGTTCACGGGCGGTCGATACGTAACAGGTGTGGTTAAATGGATGTTCTATTTTCGGTAACCGTTCGTTGTGTTGCTGAATGGTCCCTATACATGGGTGCGATTAATATTACACAGCTGTTGTATAATGACCTAAGTGCTTCGCGGAGAGGTACTTAGTGAACACGCCATTAATCAATGACGGGTGTCAAAATTTAATTAGGCGGGCTATCAAGTTGATGATGGTCCAGTGGGTGTTACCAATATTAACTCGGACAGTGTACGGTCCCTCACAAAAAGAAAAACTTTGCTGGTGAATCGATACGTGCCGGGTGCCATTAGCGAGTAACAGGTGTTGTTAATGTATGTTATTCACAAAGTACACGCTAACGCACCCCTACCCTCAAACCCCATCATTACTCCCCCTCTCATCCACCAACACCCCTATCCGTTTACTATTAAACATACATACAAGTAAATAAACAAACCAACAAATTAAACAACAAAGAAAAGAAATAAACAAATTTAAAAAATGTAAAATCAAAGAAATAAAATTAAATTCAAACTAATTATAAAATAAAATTAAAAATAAACAAAATAAAAAATAAATAAAATCCAATTACGTAACTCGTCAATAAAAATAATTAAAAAGTAAACAAATAATCAAATTACGTAACTCATTAATAAAAAATTACACAATATAAACAAAGTAATTAAATTAAACAACAAGTAAACAAACAAAGTAAACAATTTAAAATCAAACAAATAATCAAATTACGTAACTCGTTAATAAAAATTAATTAAAATTACAACATTAAATTCAAATCG